GTGTGTGGAGGGGTGGATGGAGGGATGGAGGGATGAAGGGATGGAGGGGTGGATGGAGGGGTGGAAGGAGGGGTGGATGGATGGAGTGGATGGATGGAGTGGGGGATGGATGGAGGGGTGGATGGATGGAGTGGGGGATGGATGGAGGGAGGGATGGAGTGATGGATGGATGGAGGGATGGAGGGATGGATGCGTGGATGGAGAGTTGAAGAGGTGGATGGATGGATGAATGCAATGGATGAATGCAAACTCAAGTTCATTCTGAACGAAGCCATTTCTAAAGAGCAGTGCGGGTGACTATCACTGCTGATTCTCCCTTGGGACTCAGAGGAGCCCCTGTCTTCCCACTGAAATATCCATCACTCCACATTGGCACTTGAATCTACCATAGATACAAGTCTCCGATCCCAAACTGGACAAGGGAATATTTCTGGCTGGCTCTTGCAGGGTCAACTGGACTTAAAAAAAAAGAAGAAAGAAAAAGACTAAAGCCCCCCAAAGCCTCTCCTGAGCTCCATGGCTGGTGCTCACATTAGCATAGGCAATGTCCCCTGACATCCGGGCAGCAGGCAGGAGCATCTGTGCCGGAGGGCTTGGGGGTGTCGGTGGAGGAGGGCGGGAGGAAATCTGGAACCCATAAGCTCCACTGATGTTTGCGTTACCTTGCACGGCTGCATTGGTCTGTGCCTGGTCCGCCCACAGTCCTCCTCACCCTATCAGCAAGAGCCATTCCCCAAAGTTATTCGAACGCCTTCCTCTCCGTAGCCCAAAGGAAAAACCAACCGAGCTCCTTGGAGGGCTCCGCCAGGCTTGGGAAGCTTGGGGAGGCTGAAGGGTGGATGCTCCAGGCTGCACCTCTTGAGTGGGCTCTGGCTGCTCTCCAGGCCGCCTTGCCCATGCGCCGCGGCCGTCGCAGCTCGTGAGAGCCCGGAGCCCCTCGCCCTCAAGGTGCCGAGAAAATGAAAGAGGAAAGCATGTGCCCGGACTCCCCCGAAGGCAGCCTGGTCACCAGCGAGGAGGAAGGCGAGCGGCTGCACAAGAAATGCCTCCGCAAGCGCGGCCAGGGGGGCAAGGCGGCGGAGGACTGCGGTGCCCCCTCGCCGCAGGGCAAGCGGAGCAAGCGCAGCCCGGTCCCGCAGTCCTTCGAGGACGTGCACACGCAGCGCGTGATCGCCAACGTGCGGGAGCGCCAGCGGACCCAGTCGCTCAACGATGCCTTCGCGGAGCTGCGGAAGATCATCCCGACGCTGCCCTCCGACAAGCTGAGCAAGATCCAAACCCTCAAGCTGGCCGCCCGCTACATAGACTTCTTGTACCAGGTCCTGCAGAGCGATGAGCTGGACCACAAGATCACCAGCTGCAACTACCTGGCCCACGAAAGGCTCAGCTACGCCTTCTCCGTCTGGAGGATGGAAGGGGCTTGGTCCATGTCCGCCTCCCACTGAGCCGGGGTATGTATCGCCACCTCCCCCGCCGCCACCTCCGCACATCCCTCGCTCCCGCATCCTCCGTGCATCTCCCCAGCTCGGTCCTGCGGGGGGGAAGGAGCACAGCAGCCACCCCCTCCTCACCCTCCACGTGCAAGCGATTTGCTTTAACGAACCCCAGACGCTGCCAAGGCCGGCAGTCGGAGGAGGTGATGATTCCCAACCTCGCCGGGGCCGGTAGGACGTTGCAGGGGAGCCCTAAAACGACTCGATCTCATTTAGCGGGGTCTGGTCCCAGGCAGGCTAGTGAAAGGTTTAAAACAAGGGCTTAAAAAATCTGATTTATCCCCCTCGTGGTCCCCCATGAGGACGTGTAGATCAGCAGGCACCCTCCCGAACGCCCTTGGGTTGCCAAGGTGTCAAAACCGCATGAGCAAGACCAGCAGCAACCCCGCAGCCGTCGGCTGACGGCCGCTGCCAGCGTGCCAAGAGCCCAGCCTTGTCCTTGATGTCCCCTGAAGCCATTGGGTGGCCCTGGGGCCTGCCAGGCTCCCTCCTATCCCTCTCCTAAAGCGCTGCTGGTAGGATGGGAGCCCTAATCCCTTGGGATCTGTAGGCATCCCACACTGTGGGGAATAAAACATTGAGGATGCTGCAGCAGCGAGGTTTGCCCGCTTGGTGCACTGCCCCCCTTGTTCGATGTGCTCAGCACCATCCAGCCACCACCTGAGCATCCTCTCGATGAAGCTGCTGAGAAGGGGAGGGGACTCGCCCTATTTTCAGTGCTTTAGGTCTCGTTGGGCTGGGAGAAAGGGAGACGGAGGGGGGAGAAGGGTTAGCTGCATGGTCAGGCTTCCCGCAGCCCGTGAGCGGAGAGCTCCAGAGGACATTCCCAAGCCGTTGGGGACAATTCACAGGTGGCCCAGTCCAGCTCCCGAGAGTCCCCGTTGTCCCCTAAAGAGGATCAGGGCTTTCCTCGGGCACTGATTAACCCCCACCTTGTGTCAGCCCCGGCGCTGGGGTTAGGGACCGCCGGCTCTGCTGGGGAAGCCGACTGCAAAAGGACGCTCGTTTTCCTTGCACCCACCTCTAAGGGCTGCAACGTGGAAAACCCTTTTCTTCTGACTTTCTGCCAGCTATTGGGGCCAACCACGTGCAACCTCCTCACGTGCCGCTTCTCCTCCTGGTCGGTCTTACTGAAGTCCCAATTGGGTGCAGAGACCCCGCGTGCCCGTGCCCAGCTGTGGGCTCCCTGCAGGGCAAAGGGAGCATCTTTATAACACAAGCCAGTCCAGAGCTGGCGATGAGAAGTGCTGAGACCCCAATTAAAGCCGTGCTACCCCCCAGCCAGGGCAGGGAGTCTGACATGAGGCTGCCATCGGCGTGGCTGCAGCCCAGTGAGGATGATGGGCTCCCAGTGCCTTCGCCTTTAGGATACATCTGTGGGAAGCCATAGTGAAAAAAAAAAAACAAAAATCCACCCCAAAAATCTGCTTTCCACCTTGATCTCACATTTGAAAGGCCGGAGGGAGTGGGAAAGGGAGGGAAGTGGCAAAATAAATCATAGCCTATTCCTGCAAAGTGGCCCAAGTGGTGCCTGGGCAGGCAGGGACCCTCTGCCGCGGCCGGTGTCCCCCCACGGGCACCGCTGACCCTTTTGCCTTTGGGTTTTGCCACTGAATTCCAGGCCAGGTCTGCAGGTATAGGCACAGCCGCTGGTTAAAAGTGTCATCCAGCTCCCCGGGGGGGGGGATTTCGGTTAAGGATGTGCCACCTTTAAACTCAGCCAACCTTGCTAAGATGTCGTCTAACCAACAGAGAAACTGCCGGGTTTCTAAATCTATAGAGCTTTTCTATAGATTTCAGTGCTTTGGGGCAGACACAGACGAGAAAGCCTGTCCCTGCTGGAATTGGGACCACTGGGTGCCACTGGGACCGCTGGATGCCACCGGGGACAGCTGGATGCCACCGGGGACCGCTGGGTGCCACCGCCACTGGGGACCACTGGGTGCCACTGGGGACTGCTGGGTGTCACCGGGGACCACTGGGTGTCACCAGGGACAGCTGGATGCCACCGGGGACCGCTGGGTGCCACCGGGGACTGATGGGTGCTACCAGGGACCACTGGGTGCCACCAAGGCCACCTTCCCCTTTGGGACAGCCAGGAGCGAAGCGTGTGGCTCCTTGTTCTTCCTTTAGGATGTCAAAAATCCACCAGGGATGGTCGGGATGCTGAGCCCCCCGGGCAGAGCAAGCCTGTATCCCCTGCTCCGAGCCTCCCTCCTCCTCTTCTGGGCATCCCATTTTTGCACTTTGCAGCTGGGTTATCCTGGTTTGGGATGCGGGGTGCTCCATGTGCGCTCCCAAAAGACAGGGGGCCCACTCAGCAAAGCTCTGCCCTGCTCCTCCCGGAGAGGTGGAATCAGCCCGGCGGGAGCGTGGGGTTCTTTGCAGGGGGAGGGATGGTTTTTAGGAGCGTCGTTAAAGCCCAGTTATTGGCTTTTTCGCCTTGGGGGGGTGTTTTTGGGTCCCCTCCCCATCGCCCCCCCAGCCTCGGGGCCGCTGCTCTTGGCACACGCAAGCTGAGTGCTTGGCAGGACCCGTGTTCCCATGATAAACAGAGGAATTAAAGCCCCTTCGTGAGCTTAAAGCCGTCGCCGCTAAACGAAAAGGTCTCCGGATGAAATCCCTCCCGTCCTGTGAGCGCGGTACTCGCGGCGTGCTTCTCATCGCTGCTTAATATTCATCCCAAGCGGCTCCCAAGGCAAAGCATCCTTCGGCGGAACGGCTAATCATCTGCTCTGTGCCAACCTGCGGCGGCATTCGGGTACCGATTAGCAACTCCCAGCTGGGCAGGGAAGGAACGGGAGGAGGATTTGCTAAGCAAAGCCCAAAAAGAGGGACCAGCCCCAGGGGAAGCGATGCTGGGGTTGGAAAGGCTGCGTCTCCCCCTCTCCTCTAAGTGAATTAACCCGGTGCTTGCAACGGGGCTGTAATTTTATAATGTAAAGCAGCTAACGGCTGCTGCGAGCGCTGGCGTACTGGGCTCCACTGGAACCCAGCCTATTAAATATCAAAGGGCGCTGGAGTAGCTGGATGTGGCTGTGCCCTTGTTAACCAGGAGACATCATCCGGGGAAAGAGGGATTGAGCCCCCAGGCAAGAAAAAAAATCATGTTTGAAGTCCCCCAAGCTTACGGGTTTTTTCAGCACCGTCTTGAGCACATTAAAATGGTTTCTTTTCCTGCTGGAGGAGAAAATGAGGCTGGGAGCTGAAATTGAGGGGGGGACACACACTGGTGGTGTTGTAAGGGGTGATATTCCTCGCCCTTCATTTGTCTCCCTGGATTTATTGTCTTTCTGGTGTTGCCCTCACTTAATTGCCTGTCCTCAAAGCCCTTGGATAAATCTTCCCTTTGGGGACCGTCGCTCTTGCTTGGAGTCTGCTTTGGCGGGGGGGTGTGGGGGGGGAAGGTTTCATTTTCTTTTATTTATAAATACGTCGCGTTGCACGGCATTAAAGCGCCAGGGTATCAAAGGAGCCTGGGGAGAGCTCCCTTCCCTGGGCAGATCTGCTCAGAAAGCGCATTTAAAGCAGCATCTCCTTCAAAAAAATCCCGAGATCCCGCTGCAGACTGGCAAGAAAGCGCGATCCCGTCTGGCTGGGCTGGATCGGAGCCCGTCTGGAGCCGTCCTTTAAAAGCAGCGAGAAGTGCGTCCCTTTGCTCACTGCTGGTTAAACTGGTCAAGGTGGCCAAGGACCAGCGGGCTGGGCTAGCGCTAGCCCAGGCGCTGGGCTCCTCCTTAGCCGGGTCCGGAGTTGTGCTGGCAGGAACCTTCTGGTTTGTGCTCCCAGACGAGATGAGGAGCTGCCCAAATCCTGGGAAATGGGTGCCTGGGTGATTTTTTTTTTTTTCTTTTTTTCCACTGGGGTCAAGGGCTGTGTTAAGCACCAGCCGTGCTCCGGGCTCCTGTCCGTGCACTCCGGCAGGATGCTGCTGGGATTTGCTCCGTGGTCTGGCGTGGAGCGGGTTGAGAGGTCGGAGGTTTCCTTCTCCCCTGAGCACAGAGCTTTTGCCACGGTGTCTGCAGGGCGGCCAGGTAGGGGAGGAGATGTTTGGTGCCTTGGAGGCTCTGGCTTTAACGCTCCGGGATGGGAGGAGCCGCCCTGGATGAGGGATGTGAAACGTCCCCCAAAATCCCAGCCGTCCCTCTCCAGGTCCCTTGGCACGGGAGCATCCGGCCCAAGGCCATGGCAAGAGGGCGACTGGGGCTGCCGCTAATTTTGCTGTTAGAAAAGCCCTTTTTCCAGCAAAAACTTCCACTTTTCTATTAAAGACGAAAGAACTCGCCACCGAACCTGGCTGGGGGGACCGGGCTCCTCTCCCTCGCAGGGAGGCAGGTTCCCAGCACCGCTCAGGTTTAGTTAAAATTAAAACAAGAGATAAAATTACAGAGCCAGCCCTCAGGAGCATTCAAATGTCTGCCGGTTTACGATCCCCGCAAGGAGACGGGCTCGCTGGATCTCAGCTGCCTTCGCTTAGCCCTGAGGAATGCCTTTGAAACGAGCCTGTATTTCATTGCCAAATGTCATGGGAATGCACCTGGGATCGGAGGGGGAACGAAGGAGATGTGTTAACGAGACGGGCTTTGCATTTAATTTCCTTTTATTGGGCTGTACCTGAGCGGACGAGGGTGTTAATGCAGCGGAGGGAGGGAAGGGCGGTCGTCAGCTGGGGCATTGAGGACGGGCTCTCCCCGGCTCCGTGGTCTGGACCACGGCAGCTCCGTGAAGGTCCATCCCCCAGCTCCGCACGCAGGGCTGGGCTCCTCGGGAGGCTCCCGCAGCCCTTTGGCAGCCTTCAGGATGGCGTTATTTGGCCATTAGACCTCGTTGGCTTTGAGCTGTGGCCATGCTGGGAGGCACAACTCCCTGAAAGGAGGCGAGGTGGGGTTCGGTCTCTTCTCCCTGGTAACGGGTGATGGGATGAGGGGGAACGGTCTGAAGTTGCGCCAGGGCAGGTTTACATTGGACACTAGGGAAAATTTTCTTCCCCAAAAGGGTTGTCGGGCTCTGGAATGGGCTGCCCAGGGAGGTGGTCGAGTCCCCATCCCTGGAGGGATTTAAAAGAAGGATGGATGAGGTGCTGAGGGCCAGGGTTTAGTGGTGGGATGGCAGGATTAGGTTAACGGTTGGACTCGATGATCTTAAAGGTCTTTTCCAACCTAGACGCTTCTATGATTCTATGACTATTAACCTTTAGATGGGCTGGATTGCTCATGCCAGCGTTTCCTGCGCCCCAGGACATCCCCATGCTCTGCAAGTTGGACGCCAGCCTTTTTGGTTGCCCGGCGTGGCAGGCACCATCACCCTCGAGCGCCGTGGATGTGCATGGTGCCCATCACCATGGTCCCAAAGGGACAGCAATGGGTTGCATTGGGTTTTGGGGATTTTTTTTCCTCTCTCTGCTTCCTCGGGCAGGCTCGGGCCCATCTGCAAGCCCTGCAGAGAGGGTGGGCAGGGGCTGCCCCCAGCAGCCCGCCGGCCCCCAGCTGCATTACCTCAGCCGATGCCCAGGGGGGAGTTACTGGAGGCTTTGATTTATCCCTCTCCAGGCTCCTCTCCAGAGAGTTAAAGGTCTTAGCTATTGCGCAAGGAGGGACTGGAAAAGCAGGAGGCAAAGCCGGGCGGGGGGGATGAAATAAAACCAGAGACCTGGGGGTGATGGGGAGGAAGCCAAGAGGACACCAGGGCCAGCAAAACGAAGCCGTTGAGCCCCCAGGGCTTGATTCCCCTCGCCGCCCCCCCCCATGCCCGGTCCCTCAAGACCTGCTGGAGTCATTTCCAATCTCCCCCAACCCTTGCAGGAGACGTTTCCCCCTGCCCAAGGTCCGGCCACCGGCTTGGCCTGCCCTGCTCTTGCTCTCGGTTCACCCACACCATGGCCCCCGGCTCCAGACTGGCGTCCGGCGGGGACTGGGGGGCGCCCGGCGGCGCCGCGGCG